TTCAACACTACTAGTGGAGTGTCATATGACATTGAGCTCAAATTTTTGCCACACCGGATCATGCACCGTCGTCCACGGGAATGACAATGAATATACCGAAAAATAAATCCACCGGGAGCCACCAAGAATTTCGCCGGAGATGTGAACTTCTCCCTTTATGCTTACTCTCTTTTCTTATGCCAAGTCAAAATGAAAAGGTGAAGTAGTCTTGTAATTAAAGAGCCAAATATCCATTTGAATTCAAATTCAAATTCAAATATTGTACTATGAAAGAGACTTGACTATAATGTGTAATTGACCACAAGATTAAATCCAATTGGATTTAATCTGTGGTCCATATTATACATCAACTAGCACAATCCTTTCATAGTGCTTAAGATAAATACTTATATGCCAAGTGGATTAAGTTAATCCACCTCACAAATCTTCACCTTGGATAACATATAATCCACCGCCAAATTCCTCTGTTCCAAGTGCTATCACTTAGTGTGATCTTATTTGTATCATCATCACTCACTCCAGCTCAGTACCTGTACAACAATTAACCATTATCAATACTTAATATTGATAAGCATTTGTTGAACCTATCGACCGCAAGTGTTTTTGTTCCAACATTTGCAAGATTATCAACAGTTACAATTTTAAGCAAAATAAAATCACCAGAAACTAACTTCTTCCTAATGAAGTGATACTTCACCTCAATGAACATGATTTTTATACAACATCAATGAACTTTGATTATTAGTATAAATCAAAGCATTATCATTCAAGAAGTTTAATTCACATAGAAAGCCTTTCAGTCGCATGCGTTCTTTTACAACTTCAAATAATGCAACATATTTTGCTTCTGTGTTGGAGAGTGTAACTATAGATTGCAATTGTGATTTCTAAGTGATACAATTATCACCTAAAGTGAAGAAGTGTGAAGTGGTAGATTTCCTCTAATTTTTATCCCCCGCAAAGTCAGAATCTACATAACATTTTAGCTTTAACTTTTCACTTCCCTTTTTAAATATTAACCCCCTTTCTAAAGTTTCAGCTAACAGCCATTTAAATGCAGTCCAAGCAAGATACCTGGGTTTGACATAAACCTACTCAAGAAACTAACCGCATATGCAGGGTCCTGTCTCGTGGTAATCATACAATACATCACAGACCCAATGGCATTAGCATAGGGAACTCATTTTATGCAATTCTTTTTCAATTTTAGGACATTGTGTAGATGACAAATTCATGTGTGCTGCTAATGGTATATTGACAGACTTAGCAAATTTCATACCAAATTTGGTTATCACTTTATCCAAATAAGACTCTTGATTAATAGTCATCATATTATCAGCCTTATTCCTCTTAATAACCATGC